TTGGGTTCCAACCCGTCCACACTTCTGGGGTCAGTTTCGAGTCGGGGGAGCTGAACCGTTTTTCTGTTGCCACGGCCACCATTTGTAATGCGTTATCAGCGGCGCTGGCGAGTAAATAAACTCCCGCTTGGTAGAGCAGCTCATGTTTCCTGCCAGGCAGGAAGCCGGTATTTACCACTCATGGGGGACAGACCGGTGCATTGCAGGCAGAACAGTCCATTGATAAGCAGGTTAGGACAAGCCGGATCCATGTTGGATGATCTCGCTGTATGCACCGTATGAGCAGAGGGATGTGCCAGAGAACCCTGCGCAAGAGGGGCCCCTTATACTACACTGCAGGGCCACAAGTCTATGGACAGCACACCTAGGAGCTTGTTGGGCACCTCATTCCAGAACCATGGTTTGTAATATGGAGCTGTCCCCCCATTGAGGCTTTAACCGTCTCCACTCTTCTGGGAAGGCGTCCACTAAATTTCGGAGGGTGTCTCTGGGATTTTGTGCCCGTTGGTGAGTTCAGGGACCGATGGTGGAGGAGAAGGTCCGGCACATAATTTGCATTCCAGTCATCCCAGTAGGGTTGAGGTCGGGGCTCTGTGCAGGACACTCAAGTTCCTCCACATCAGTGGCGTCACAAGGGGGGGGCGGCCCGCACCCGGGTGTCACCATTGCAGGGGTGACCCCAAAATGACTGACAGTCATTTTGGGGTCACCCCTCTCTAAAAAGTCAGGCACTCGGTCATGGACCGAGAGCCCAACAGTGTCAGGAGAGAGGAGGGGACCCGGCAACATACCTCATCCCGCCGGGTGAACGTGTCCTCCTCTCTCTGCCGGCGTCCAACACCAAGATGGCCACTGGCAGGCGTCAATCAGATGGTCGCACATTACACCGCCCCTGCTCCACATAGAGGGTTCATACAGAGTGTGGCCAGTGTTATTATTAATAAACTCACACAGCATCGGTGGTCAGTGGCAGGCCATTATTAATAAATGTACACACAGCATTGGTGGTCAGTGGCAGGCCATTATTAATAAATGTACACACAGCATTGGTGGTCAGTGGAAGGCCATTATTAATAAATGTACACACAGCATTGGTGGTCAGTGGAAGGCCATTATTAATGTACACAGCATTGGTGGTCAGTGGAAGGCCATTATTAATAAATGTACACAGCACTGGTGGTCAGTGGAAGGCCATTATTAATAAACTCACACACACACACACACACACTCCCTGTGACATTAGCACCAGGCTTGTACAATTCTTGCCGGGGCAGCTGCTGGGAGCTCAGGTGCTATTGTCATAGGCACTCCACCAGAACTACATCTCCCAGGAGCCCTTTCCCTACACGTGGTGAGCGGGCAGGATCTTGGGGCACCAATGCAGCAGCGCTGCTTGCCAGCAAAGAAATGTAGATCATTTGTAATAAAAATAAATCAATGTATGCATGTGAAAAAGGGTCATAGAGGGGCGGGGGGTTCTTTAGTATGGCAGGCGGGGCTGACAACGCTACTTGGGATTTTACAGAATTTCCAATGTTTATGGAATGCTGTCCTTGTTTAATAAAGGTTGTTGAATTGAACGGCCTCTACTCTTCCTCGTGTCCGGCAGGTTGTTAACATTCACCAGAGCACCGTGGACTCTTACCTGGAGGACGTCATCCTCAGTGCCACCGAGAGCACGGCGGAGGAGCAGGCCCGAGAGGAGATCCAGCGCAGAGCTCAGGAGATCAATGATATCGCTTATCAGATGGAGGGCAGGTGAGAGGGCCAGAGATCCCATGAGGATCAGATGGAGGACAGGTGAGAGGGGCTGGAGATACCATGAGGATCAGATGGAGGGCCGGAGATCCCATTAGGATCAGATGGAGGGCAGGTGAGAGGGCCGGAGATCCCATGAGGATGAGATGGAGGGCAGGTGAGAGGGGCCGGTGATCCCATGAGGATCAGATGGAGGGCAGCTGAGAGGGCCGGAGATCCCATGAGGATCAGATGGAGGACAGGTGAGAGGGGCTGGAGATACCATGAGGATCAGATGGAGGGCCGGAGATCCCATTAGGATCAGATGGAGGGCAGGTGAGAGGGCCGGAGATCCCATGAGGATCAGATGGAGGACAGGTGAGAGGGGCTGGAGATACCATGAGGATCAGATGGAGGGCCGGAGATCCCATGAGGATCAGATGGAGGGCAGGTGAGAGGGCCGGAGATCCCATGAGGATTAGGTGGAGGGCAGGCGAGAGGAGCCGGAGACCCCATGAGGATGAGATGGAGGGCAGGTGAGAGGGCCGGAGATCCCATGAGGATCAGATGGAGGACAGGTGAAAGGGGCCGGAGATCCCATGAGTATCAGATGGAGGGCAGGTGAGAGGGCCGGAGATCCCATGAGGATCAGATGGAGGACAGGTGAAAGGGGCCGGAGATCCCATGAGTATCAGATGGAGGGCAGGTGAGAGGGCCGGAGATCCCATGAGGATCAGATGGAGGACAGGTGAAAGGGGCCGGAGATCCCATGAGTATCAGATGGAGGGCAGGTGAGAGGGCCGGAGATCCCATGAGGATCAGATGGAGGACAGGTGAAAGGGGCCGGAGATCCCATGAGTATCAGATGGAGGGCAGGTGAGAGGGCCGGAGATCCCATGAGGATCAGATGGAGGACAGGTGAAAGGGGCCGGAGATCCCATGAGTATCAGATGGAGGGCAGGTGAGAGGGCCGGAGATCCCATGAGGATCAGATGGAGGACAGGTGAAAGGGGCCGGAGATCCCATGAGTATCAGATGGAGGGCAGGTGAGAGGGCCGGAGATCCCATGAGGATCAGATGGAGGACAGGTGAAAGGGGCCGGAGATCCCATGAGTATCAGATGGAGGGCAGGTGAGAGGGCCGGAGATCCCATGAGGATCAGATGGAGGACAGGTGAAAGGGGCCGGAGATCCCATGAGTATCAGATGGAGGGCAGGTGAGAGGGCCGGAGATCCCATGAGGATCAGATGGAGGACAGGTGAAAGGGGCCGGAGATCCCATGAGTATCAGATGGAGGGCAGGTGAGAGGGCCGGAGATCCCATGAGGATCAGATGGAGGACAGGTGAAAGGGGCCGGAGATCCCATGAGTATCAGATGGAGGGCAGGTGAGAGGGCCGGAGATCCCATGAGGATCAGATGGAGGACAGGTGAAAGGGGCCGGAGATCCCATGAGTATCAGATGGAGGGCAGGTGAGAGGGCCGGAGATCCCATGAGGATCAGATGGAGGACAGGTGAAAGGGGCCGGAGATCCCATGAGTATCAGATGGAGGGCAGGTGAGAGGGCCGGAGATCCCATGAGGATCAGATGGAGGACAGGTGAAAGGGGCCGGAGATCCCATGAGTATCAGATGGAGGGCAGGTGAGAGGGCCGGAGATCCCATGAGGATCAGATGGAGGACAGGTGAAAGGGGCCGGAGATCCCATGAGTATCAGATGGAGGGCAGGTGAGAGGGCCGGAGATCCCATGAGGATCAGATGGAGGACAGGTGAAAGGGGCCGGAGATCCCATGAGTATCAGATGGAGGGCAGGTGAGAGGGCCGGAGATCCCATGAGGATCAGATGGAGGACAGGTGAAAGGGGCCGGAGATCCCATGAGTATCAGATGGAGGGCAGGTGAGAGGGCCGGAGATCCCATGAGGATCAGATGGAGGACAGGTGAAAGGGGCCGGAGATCCCATGAGTATCAGATGGAGGGCAGGTGAGAGGGCCGGAGATCCCATGAGGATCAGATGGAGGACAGGTGAAAGGGGCCGGAGATCCCATGAGTATCAGATGGAGGGCAGGTGAGAGGGCCGGAGATCCCATGAGGATCAGATGGAGGACAGGTGAAAGGGGCCGGAGATCCCATGAGTATCAGATGGAGGGCAGGTGAGAGGGCCGGAGATCCCATGAGGATCAGATGGAGGACAGGTGAAAGGGGCCGGAGATCCCATGAGTATCAGATGGAGGGCAGGTGAGAGGGCCGGAGATCCCATGAGGATCAGATGGAGGACAGGTGAAAGGGGCCGGAGATCCCATGAGTATCAGATGGAGGGCAGGTGAGAGGGCCGGAGATCCCATGAGGATCAGATGGAGGACAGGTGAAAGGGGCCGGAGATCCCATGAGTATCAGATGGAGGGCAGGTGAGAGGGCCGGAGATCCCATGAGGATCAGATGGAGGACAGGTGAAAGGGGCCGGAGATCCCATGAGTATCAGATGGAGGGCAGGTGAGAGGGCCGGAGATCCCATGAGGATCAGATGGAGGACAGGTGAAAGGGGCCGGAGATCCCATGAGTATCAGATGGAGGGCAGGTGAGAGGGCCGGAGATCCCATGAGGATCAGATGGAGGACAGGTGAAAGGGGCCGGAGATCCCATGAGTATCAGATGGAGGGCAGGTGAGAGGGCCGGAGATCCCATGAGGATCAGATGGAGGACAGGTGAAAGGGGCCGGAGATCCCATGAGTATCAGATGGAGGGCAGGTGAGAGGGCCGGAGATCCCATGAGGATCAGATGGAGGACAGGTGAAAGGGGCCGGAGATCCCATGAGTATCAGATGGAGGGCAGGTGAGAGGGCCGGAGATCCCATGAGGATCAGATGGAGGACAGGTGAAAGGGGCCGGAGATCCCATGAGTATCAGATGGAGGGCAGGTGAGAGGGCCGGAGATCCCATGAGGATTAGATGGAGGGCAGGCGAGAGGAGCCGGAGATCCCATGAGGATCAGATGGGGGGAGGTGAGAGGGGCCGGAGATCCCATGAGGATCAGATGGATGGCAGGTGAGAGGCCGGAGATCCCATGAGGATCAGATGGAGGGCAGGTGAGAGGCCCGGAGATCCCATGAGGATCAGATGGAGGGCCGGAGATCCCATGAGGATCAGATGGAGGGCAGGTGAGAGGCCAGGGATCCCATGAGGATCAGATGGAGGGCAGGTGAGAGGGGCAGGAGATCCCATGAGGATCAGATGGAGGGCAGGGGAGAGGGCCGGAGATCCCATGAGGATCAGATGGAGGGCAGGTGAGAGGCTGGAGATCCCATGAGGATCAGATGGAGGGCCGGTGTGAGGGCCGGAGATCCCATGAGGAGCCGTGTAATAATCTCATTGCTCCAGTTTAGCACATACATGTCCCAATACCTGATAAGTACCAGGACAATGGCCCGCAGCTGCATGTAAACAAAGAGGCGGGATGCCGGTGACATCACAGTCCTTATATGGGCACATTACCCTAATATGGTCATGTGACCATATAAAGTCAATGATGTCACCAGCACCCCGCCCCTTTGTTTACATGCAGCTGCGGGGCGGAGAATGTTCTGGCTGCAGCTGATTGGACCGCCACTAACTATTTCCTTTCCGATTCGGTCCGAGCCCAAACTCCTCCCTACTCACAATGCGGACTGGCTCTCTTGCCGCCTGTCCCTGATTTAGTCCTACGTCATGTTCAGATCAATGGCCGTATTTCTAGAGAAAGAGTTAGCTGAGGGGGGCCGGTGGAGGGGGGATACACAATGTTGCTATGGGGCCCCATGATTGTAGTAAAGCTCCTCCCCCTAACAACAATCGAGTACCGTTGTCGCTCCTTTTCACAGCCGTACCCGGCTACAGTCGGAGGAGATCGTGGCGGAGTTGGTGTACAGTTTCCTCATCCCAGAGATCCAGAAGAAGACTGTCCGGGAGAGAGGTGAGTGCGCCCTGTCCATAGAGGCGGGGCCTCCTGGGGGGAGGTGGGATGCTGCAGCAGGGGGCTGTGATCTGTGTCGGACATTTGTGAACACAGCCAAGAACTGCACTGGCACCCGGATGAATGTTACAAATCCCATCATGCATCTGTCTCCGGGAGTCATGCCTGTGGCTGTGAGAATCTTGCAATGCCTCATGGGAGAAGTAAAGTATTTTTCCCCCAAAAAGGGATCCCACCATAAGTCCAAGTATTCAAATTTAGTAAAAAATTAGGGATGGTAATGATTACAATTTTCGTGTTCGATTAATTATAACGCACATACAGATCCAACTGCATTGGCCTATACACATACAGCACAGCAATGACCTATACTCATACAGCACAGCGATGAACTGTACACATACAGCACAGCAATGACCTATACTCATACAGCACAGCGATGACCTATACACATACAGCACAGCAATGCCCTATACACATACAGCACAGCAATGCCCTATACACATACAGCACAGCAATGCCCTATACACATACAGCACAGCAATGCCCTATACACATACAGCACAGCAATG